ATTGAATTGAATATTTCTTGTATCCTACTGTATTATTCCCTTGGTACCAACGATTGCTATTTACTACACAAAAGCTTTCTACATTCTTGCCATATATAGCACCAATTATCAATTGTAAAGAATCCATTAACTGTTGATAATCATGAGTTCTGATACGTATCGTTATTTCTAATACATTCAAGTCTATGCACGTCGGGAATAATGGCAGGTAATACAGCTAACAACTACATTTTTCATACCCTTTACAAAGCTACTTAATTTCTTCAAGTAAGTGAAAAATTCATTTGTCTCAAATTATTTGTATTGCGAATGTGACATAGTAAAGCTCACATCTAACAATATTCAACAAGAGTCCTAAATCAACCAGTCCACCTTCAATACTTGAGTTACGATAAACATTAGATTCAAGAGGGGATGAATAATTTAGCGCCGGTTTATCTGTATATCTACCATTTCAAATAAATATGGCAATTGAAAGGTTGCAAGTACTTCTTTCTATCCTATAAATACCTTTATTTATTCTTTTTTTGTTCAGTTCCTATGACTCATAGAACGCCCCTCTTTTTCACCAAACGTCGCACGCTCCCAATAAAACGAAAGAAACAAATCTCCAAAGACATGCCAAGCACGCGGAAGTGAAGAAGCTGTATTGAGTGATACCCAATATCCTATATTGAAGCACATCTTTTCTTGTAACACACAAATACTTCAGCATTAAACTGTCTACAATGCATTCTTATGCAAATCAATCCTCTTTTAATTTTACATTCATCAAATCTTCAACGGATTGATAATATTATAAGTTTTCAAAAGGCAGTTCCACAATGAATTTATCATTGGTCAATCGTTGGTTATAAGTTAAGATTATAATTATATGACATTTTTGAGATTCAAATTATTTATATTGTACTGACATCTCATACAGAACGAATCTTTTATTGATAACAATCGGATCGAATATCCCACTCACCCACTTTCCAGGCAACCAACTATCATAAGCATCCATGAAAAAGGGACAAGGGGCACAATTTGCCCCTCTTGATGGACTTCCAACTATGAAAGAAAGGCAGCCTGCAAATTTTAGGCCATCTTTGGTTTTAGCATTTAAAATATTCATCCATCATTTGCAGTATGTTATCCCATTTTCTATTTCCTTGGGGCTGACACTCCCCCCCCCCCCCCTCCAAGGCCCTTAAAAATGTAGTTTCCTTGCTGAACTACATGTATATACATGTAGTTCACCGTAGGCTCCGATGCTTTGCTCCTCCAGAGGCTAAGGTCTGGATATGCCACTTTCGTTATGAGATGCTATCCTCCAGTGACAGGGAGAACGCTGAATATCAGAAAGGTCGAGCTATTTATGAAATTATTGTATCGAATTGCATTATAATGTCAAATGAATTAAACTTCTCTTTATACCAATTTTGACAGAGGGATAAATAATACGCCGCTATCCTTCTACAATAGGCCCACGCATTGTATTCCCCGTTGTAAGCGTCTATTCAATTCAGGACCGAATAGTTAATTAGTGTATTATACAGTTATATAGGTTTATATTTGGCCCCTGTTCATAAATGGATATTATGGGTTGATTATTTTCTTCAGAGTGATGTTTTAATTATAATTACCATGTCCATGGGTATAGGCATTGTATAAATGCGCTCTTTTGAAAGTTATATTAATTATTCCCGCGTTTACAACAGACACATTATGAGCATCAAGTTAATTACTTTCGCGTTCATGCGAATGTGTAACCCCCTCTCTTTCTCTCTCTCTCTCTCTCTCTCTCTCTCTCTCTCTCTTCTCTCTCTCTATCTCTCTCTCTCTCACACATACACACATAGAAAGAGTGTCTATAGCGCGCATAGACATTCTTTTTCTCCATCTCTCACTCTCTTTCTTTCTCTCTTTCTTTTCTTTCATCCTGCTTTTATCCGTGTCCACCCTGAGTTATATTTTCGTTCTTTAGCTGTCTACATGTTGTATGCCGAACTTCATTCTGTCAAGGTGTAATGCTGAGGGGGAGGGGGGAAGGGAGTTATCCCCGATTCTTTTTTACACTCTTCCACCATTTTCGACTTATCTGCTTTGCCCCCGCTCCCCGGTCCATGACCCTATATGCCCTCATTTTCGTTTTCTCCACCATTCCATCTCTCTCTCCCTCTCTCTTTCTCAAATGTCAACATCGCATCTCGAGACCATTATCGCACTCTTTTGATCTCAGTATTTTCACATGTGCTTTAAAACTTTCTCTTCATTCTTTGAGCATCAAATTTCCCATCGCATCGACGACACTTCATTCTCCCCATCGACCCCTTTCTTCCATTTCATTGAGCTTATTACCCCCCCCCCCCCCCAAACAAACATCTCTCTCTCTCTCTCTCTCTCTCTCTCTCTCTCTTGAGTTAAAATTATACTTAAAACATGCATTTAGAAATTAGACCTACACGTGCACGCTGGCACTATGTGGTATAACTATCAACAAGTACATAGGGCATATCGTCATGTCTACATCCACCAAAAGATGTGTTAGCACATTCTTTCGTGGTGAATCTAAATGTATATCGGTCGCAACTCCCCCCCCCCCCCCTCCTCCTCCTCCATCTCTTTCTTTCTTTTAGACAATCTATCCGTCTTTGTCTGCTTATTTATCCACGATAATTATTCTATTATACGTTTTCTCTAAAACTATATTTACATATACATCTTGCATAGACATATACATGTGTATCCTTCTGCACATCTAAGCATCTCTCCTATATCCACCATTTTGTCTCTCTCTCTCTCCCTCCCCCCTCCCCCCCCCCCTCTCTCTCTCTCTCTCTCTCTACCTCTCTCTACCCTCCCTCGCATAAATGTGTGAACCACCTTGATCATCACGGTGTGTATCATGTGACCTTTGACCGCTACCTATTGTTATGATTCGGATCAAATCACAGGACCTCGCTGTTATTTCAACACTCACCCAAAAAATATTTCATCGCATGCCTTTTATGATAGACACAACATCAACTCCACATGACCGACTCTTTACTGTACAATGTGGACCTTGCTTTTTTGTCCCCACCAAACCAAATAATGGATAATACATTGTATGTATTTATGATGGAGTGACTGCGTCACATGACCGTGAATTTAGAGATCGAATCACAATGCTATTTTCCAACCCTCACAACAAATATTTTCACATATGGTTTTATGATAGACCTACTATAAAAAGGCACATGACCTTTGCTATTATTGCTCTGATTTCTACTGTAGAATAAACACCCGTTGCCCCCTTTTTAATGGTACAATATAAATCTACAATAAAATGCACGGATCCAACGGGCCTTTGCTGTTTAATCATGGATATATTATAGAGCCTCAAATCCAAAGTCATCGCCAATCAATGCAGTTATGAAAGACATGCTATACAAATACACAAGACCTTGTACATGTATTCACCGTACAACAATATAAAGTCATGAGATTATTGACAGACACGCCTACAAGACTCAATCTGCCATCAATAACGTTAATATACCTATGTATAGGCATATATTTTTTATTCTTTAATTCAGGTGTGACTGTAAAATGAACCCAAGGCTTGTCAAATATTTCCGTGATGTGCATAACAACGATTCTTAATGTTGATGTCTGTTTCATGGACACGTGACCTATAGGGTGTGCGAGGGCAATTATTGAGAAACATGAACTGCAAAGTTGTCTGGAAACTTCAACTTGTGTTTCGCTATTTGTACGCATTGGGGTAGCCCCGCGTACAGGCATTATACCACTCAAATTGACACCCATTACAAGCCCTGATAAATGGGGGAATTGCTCAACCATTCATAACAGATAAAGAATTAAATCATTCTATTCTCGACGATTTGTCGTTTCATGGTCTGTGCACACATCAACATCTCAGCTATATTAGGGATAGATAATGACGCAGTAGCACTTTACGCTCTATTTTTTAAAGAGGAGGATGAGAAAAGGCGAAACTGGGGAGGTAATTTAGAAGGAAAGACATAAATGGAGGTGAGTGGTAGAAATGGTGGGAAAGAGAGAATGAGGGGGTGAGAGGGAGAGAGAGAGAGAGAGAGAGAGAGAGAGAGAAAAAACATACTACCCTGATTTTGATAACGGTCTCAAATCGAACCTGGTTAGGTCATGACCTGCATGTGTATTATTCAGACTTTGCGCCATTTTTTAAAGAGATGTATACTGTGTCACATAATATACATGGATACATGGTCTGGTAAAAGTATCTAAAATAAAATGGTCACGGCATTCCCTTCCAAATTTGACAGATAATATACTTATCTCGACAATTATCTTTATAAAAGGATGTCTGGCTATACATTTCATTGCAAATAAAACGTACACAACGAAGGCATCATACAATATTTTGCTGTGTATATATAATTGTCTGTCACCAATGTCAGGAGCAAATTTCTCGTCATTATTTTTTATCTAATTCACAATCAACACTTATAAACCCTAAAGTTCATATTAATTACTTTTCTTTTGTATAGTTAAGTAAACAGCTAGATTCGTATGCCTCCAAAAGGCAAATGGTGCAATATTCCTATCAATATAATAATAATATAATAATAATAATAATAATAATAATAATAATAATAATAATAATAATAATAATAATAATAATAATATAGGTTCATAATACTGCACCACTCTACTGAACATGAGTATAAACATCGCCAAAGCAGTCTTTTATCAAAATCATACCAATTACAAAAGTCAAACCATATTCGTATCATACACGAACAGTTTGAGGGGTACGTTAATCGCAACAGGTAGATTTAGGCAGGCCGACCATTGCAGCATACATAAGTTCAAGGCATCACTACAGTGTCTTTCGTATCCCATTGCAGACGACATAACGTAGATCAGAGCGCGCGCGGTGTAAATTTATGCAGCGGAATAGATGCTGATGCTTTTGCGACTGCACCAGAGAGCCAGGGTTTAAAAATACGGAATTGGTTGAGACTTACCGGTTCCATTCCTCGTTTCTTAGTCCCAGAACCTGCTGGGACTTCGTTGAGGCTTCGAACTCGGGTTCATGCTGAAGAACTGGCATCGCGGACCCTCTTCGAGCCGCTAGCCCAATATTAGTACCGACGAACGCCGAGAAACGCCGTGCTGTCCTCCCCGGGCTCCGGCGTGGTTTGTTGGCTCCGTCCGCTACACTGATCCATTGCTGCACGGCTCCGCCAGTGGCACCGTTCGCACTGCTCGGTGAATTGGTGCTCGCGTGGTGTTGTGCGAACAGTCCCAGACTGGAGTGGGGCTCAGCGAAAGACCTGCGTTTCATGGTAAATGAGGTAGACTTGCCGTTGGCTACGTGTTGAAAGATGGGAGCAGCTAAATCAACAATTTTACGTGCTAAAGGACTGACATAATGAACTTGATATCTGGAAAAGAAAACAAAATAAAAGCAAATCAAAATAAACATTGTAAATTTAAGTTTTGCTGATTCGACATCACATTGTCACATAGTGTTGAGATAATAAAAATTCGTAAAGGTCTTTTCATTTACAAAACATGCAGATTGTGTACAACGGGTAATTTCAAAGGAGTAATTAGATGCATAATGGCACTTATGTCGCTAATTTTTGGATATTTCTTATGGAAGTTAAACAAAACGTGAAACAATCTCTCCTCACATCTTGACATGTTTATGAATATTTAAATGCAAACATTGTATAGTTTTAAAGTAAGTTCATATCCTTGTACAGTTCAACAGTTGTGTGACTTGAAACCATCAATGGTACGTAAGGCAATTTCGAGTGATTGATCATTTTGGTGTGATATAAATGAAAAGTGAGCACGCACCATACATGACAATACACAGATCACATGCTGCATGTAATTAATTTTCATCCATATCACACTCAAAAAAGAATAACAAAAGTAAATGTATATGCTTTCAGTTTGTATTACCATATAATTATGTAAAAAGTACCTTTTTACAATTTGAATATAATACTGCAGGATCGGTTTTTTTTTTTTTTTTTTTTTTTTTTTGGGGGGGGGGGGGGTATTGGGGGCTTTGTGGGGACTTGGGGCTTGAGGGCCCTTGCATTCAATTTCTACTCGTGTATTACTATTCATTTTCAGAGGAAGGGTTGTTGTGGTGGTGGAGAGTAACATTTTGACATTTTGAACAGGCAGAACGTTGTCACAAGCAAGACGGTTCATCAATACACCAATAGATGGCAGCAAACTCAATCGGTAAAACAGCATGATTAATGTCTACGCCGTTTGAATTCTCGCTACCCCAAATAGCGATTCTGCCGAGATCCGGGGAAAATCCTGAAAACGCGCATTGCATTATGGGATAGCTTTTCGACATTACAGCTTCCTGTGCAGGCGCGCGATAGCGCAAACGTAAAACGCCGTCGCCACACAACGTGTATGCACCGAATATGTCGTCTGCTCGGTCTTGTTTTTTTTCGCAAATATTTCAACGTTTATTTGAACATTTCATTCGTTGTTTTTTGCGTCTTTTGACATCAGTGACGATGGTTTTCTTTTGTGAGGCTGCACAGTGCTGGGCTCATGATTCCAAGCGTAAGAACCCTGAAAAATGGGGGTGGATGAAGGCCGTGACTTGGGATGGGACTCTATACCGGAAGTTGTAGTGACGACCCGAGAGAGTGAAAATTACCTCGTCTCGCGAATTTCGAGATTTTCGTACCTATTTAGGGTAGCGAGAATTACTCGCAGTTAATAAACTGCAGCTATGCAATACGTTTTATTTACAGCCCCCTCTCTTGATGTATATTTATATTTTGTGTTATCTGTATATTTATGGGGTATTAATTTTGAATTTTCTATCGTATTTCTTTCACTTTCAGTCTCTGCAGAAAAAAACTAAAATCCGTTATATTTTGCCTGTTGTCTTTATGACATCCTCGTGTGTTTGTTTGTGTGTTTTGTTTTGTTTTCTATGTACGTTTGTTACTATATACCCCCCCCCCCTTTTTTTTTCCTTCTCTCTCTCTCTCTCTCTCTCTAACTCCCTTTTGCCATGTTGACATGATCTTCTTTTCTTTTGCAACTTTTATTGTTCTTTTTTTCTTCTTCATGAGAACCAAGATACAGTCAAACCTGCTTTAGTGACTACTTGAATAGAAAGACCACCTGTCTACAATGTCAACATTTGTTGGTTTCCCTTGAAAATTGTTTCTCATTGAAACATGTAAATGGAACCTGTACTTAAAGATCACCTTCCTATAAAGACCACCTCTCTTGTCTCCCTTGGGTGGTATTTATAGACATGTCTTATTGTATCCCATATTCCCTACCTATGCCATTTATAAATCCCTTTCTCCTTTGCTTCCATTCCTCATACACGATTTCTGCATCTCTCTTATTTTGTATTTCCTTAATACACCCCATTCTTCATACTACTCACTCCCAGAGCTCACCCATGTTTGCTCTCCATACAAACATGGGAAAGCTCGCTGCTACAAAAATAGCCCCTACATTCGAGAGAGAGTAGACCTGAACCGGCGTTCAAGGAAGTTCTCCATCAATAACCTATGATTAATTTCCTTTTTAGGTAATTACTGACCTATCTCGGCTCCTGTTCCCCCTCCCCGATGCTACTGTTGTTTGCCTGCACAACCCGTGACATGACACACGCGAAACGTGTGTAGAACAGCTAGCCGCAAAACCTAATAATAGTTACAACTATTTCTCTAAAATAAGACTCTTAAAGCTAAAGTTGATTACTGCAAATCCTAATAATAGATACCACTATTTCCCTCAATTAAGATTTAGGGCTAAAGTAGAATACTGCTAAATCTAATAATAGGTATAACTATTTCCCTCAAATAAGACTTTATAGAGCTAAATTTGAGTATTGGTCACGCGATTGCATTTTGAACATCGTAACAAAAACTGTCTCGAAGCTCCAGCCGCAAATCCTAAAATTCCGCTTTTGTCCATGAATATGGAATACTAAGTTGTTAGCTATTTTTATCGACTGATTGTGACAATATGTTTTATTCTTCTAAGCTTTATTTTTTATCTTCTCATAGCTATATTGATCAATCTCTACGACTCTTAAAGAATGTTAAAACTATTTCTTTTCTCACCGTGCCCACTTTGGAAATCTTTGTTGTAAACATAAAATGGCCAGAAGTTTTGGGGAAGTTTTTGGACATCTTTGAAATGATGACAAAAATAGATAAAGCCTTGCTGAAGATTACATAAATTGAAAAGTACTGCGCATAGATTTAAGTATGCCTCATATACTACATCTTGAAAATGGCATCAGCATTTTGGTCGAATGATTTATTATTGTTATCATTTTTATTATTTGTAGTAGTAGTATTAGTAGTAGTATTAATTATAATTATTGATATTTTTATTATTTGTATTATCCAAGGGTAAACCCTCTTCATGTGGCATTTCTAATGTAATACTAAGGCCTACTTGAAATAGGACTAGAATAAAAATGATAACAAATCTTACAAATTAATAATTCAACTTTACCATGCATGCATGATACAACTTTCCCTTTAACAGTATACAATCTATACACTTACACGCTGTCTGTAGTAATCGAATACCCCTACAACCAGCAGGGTGTCAATATTGAGTCATTGGTCGGTAAATAGCGTTTGTCCCAAAGAGATACATCAGATTACAAGATTAAAGCTATCCATTCCTGACTTTAAAGGTAATAATGTAGGTATGGGGTCATGATTTTGGTTCAAATGATTATTGGAAGTAGATGCAATCATATATTTAGTGATTGTTGTCGCGGTCAAAATCGAGTCTAAAGTGATGATATTGTGTTATAATAATAAACTCGTTATGTTGTATAGCTCCTTCTCAAAATTGATATTACTTTAGCTTTAAAACAATGTTTCATGACTAAAATCGACAAATTTTCTATTGCCGTTTGGAAATTATATATCAGAACTGGATATCCCGAGATTGTCATGGTCACAGCTACCATTGTTTGGCCGAAGGCGCTATTCGAAATTGATAGAGAGCACCGATAAATTCGATACGATGATATTCGATTTCTCGAAAGCAGAAGTGTTTTAGGGGCTAACATTTCTAGTGCTTATAATACATCCACAGGGGCATCCAAATATATCAAAATTGTAAAGAATCACAATCCAGTCAATTTTAAAATTCCCCAAAACATTGCATTACCTTTAACAAATGTATGTTTTTTTTCTTCATAAAATTATAAAGACAGAAAGGGAAGATCCGTATACTTTGTATCATATCAGTATTAAAACCACGAGGCTTTGCGATCGACTACCCCTCCCCCCCCCCCTTTTTTTTTTCCTGGTCAAAAATGACTGGTAGTGTTGAGAACAAAATCATTATATTTGTTAGACGGAAATAACTTTTGTTACAAATGTAAGGAGACTTATTTTTTTCAGTCCTCAGACAGAACTTCACTTGATCGTCAAGGCATGATTAGAAAGGATTTCGCATTTACCCTGATGTTGTTGTTTTATCTTTTCCTTTAACAATTTCAGAAAATTGTCAGCATTGCTTTTCTATTGCATTTCAATTATAAAGGTGCAGAACAATCATTTCAGCTGCATTGCTTTGTGCACAGTGCTTAGGGATTTGTAAAAAGGCAGGTGTCAACATGAATGCAACACAATACGCTGCTATGCTTGTATAACTTTTACGTATATAAGAATATATAAAGACTCAAAAAGGCCCGTTCACATTATGTCACGATAAACCGCACACAAAGTAACGGTTATGGCAATGTGAAGGTACCTAAGCAGAGTGCACTTTATATTTCAGTACCTTACAAAATACAAAAAGTGAGGAGGTTTCGGCCTTTAATAATACGCGTAATAATCATAATTTTGTTTACACATGGAAATCCTCATCAGCATCACTGCTGTTTTTTCTTGAGCTCACTGCAATTAATATTCTCCCAGCAATTGCCAGGTACCCATTTACACTTGGATGGAAATGTCCTTCTCCTTCTCTTTCTTCTTCTTCTTCTTCTTCTTCTTCTTCTTCTTCTTCTTCTTCTTCTTCTTCTTCTTCTTCTTCTTCTTCTTCTTCTTCTTCTTCTTCTTCTTCTTCTTCTCTTCTTCTTCTTCTCTTCTTCTCTTCTTCTTCTTCTTCTTCTTCTTCTTCTTCTTCTTCTTCTTTTTCTTCTTCTTCTTCTTCCTCTTCCTCTTCCTCTTCTTCTTCTTCTTCTTCATCTTCATCTTCTTCTTCTTTTTCTTCTTCTTCTTCTTCTTCTTCTTCTTCTTCTTCTTACATAATATAATTTTCATTGTTATTATTATATTGTTATTATTATTGTTATTATTATTATTATCATTATTATTATTATTAGTAGTAGTAGTAGTATCATTATTATCATTACCATCATTACTAATTATTAGTGTCGTTATCATCTGTTC